AAAAAAAAAAATCCAAACTTGTGCTCCTCAGACTTTTAACCTTTTGATTATTTGTTAAAGATTGTTTCCCGCAAACAGGTTTATCAATCTTGTGGCTCCTCTCTCCTCTCCTTTTCTCTCGGTCTCTCAGGTGGGGCAGACTCATTGTGTTTCCTAAACGTGCTCTGAAATAAACTCGTCCGTGGTCAGACTAGAGGTCACAGGTCGGAGGGAGGCTAATGCAGGTCGTCGGTGCGTCTTCTCTGGAGGCTCTCGGCAGAACTGTGTTTGGCTCCGGTCTGTGCGCCGAAGCTGCCGTCAGCGTGAGGTCAGAGCGGCCGCCGGAGCGAGACCGACAGAAATCTGCTTCATTGGATTTAATTAAGCACTTTTAGCTCAGGCCAAGGACAATGTTTGTTTGGGACAGTGGAGAAAGGGCAAAAGATGTGCACTTTGAAATGAGCTCAAGTGAAAGACTGTGAGCGTCAGTGTAAGGCAAGTTTATTTGTATAGCACAATTCGTACACAAAGTAATTCAAAGTGCTTTACAGAATAAGAAATACATTAAAATCATAATAAAAACAAATCAAAACATAAATAATCATGAAGATTAAAATTTTAAAAAAGAGAGACATAAATTGGAGAGAAGAGTGCGGAATGAAAACCTTTCAGTTTTATGCACAGTTAAACAGAAATGTTTTGAGTCTGGATTTAAACAGCGTCACAGAAGAGTCTGTCTCACATGTTCAGACTGTTCCAGGTTTTAGCTGCATGAACCTGAAACTCTGACTCCCCTTGTTTAGTCGTGACTCTGGGCACCAGCAGGAGTTGGTCCCTGAGCTCCTCAGAGTGTGAGATGTTCATATGACACTAACATGTCACAGATGGACTTTGGTGCTCGGCCATGGAGACACTTGTACAAGCAGAGCTGCTTTAAAGTCTCTGAGCCACAGGAGCCAGAGCAGAGACCTGAGACCAGGACTTATGTGCTCGTACTTCCTAGTTCGAGTCAGGACCCGAGCTGCAGCGTTCTGGATGTTCTGGATGTTCTGGATGTTCTGGATGTTCTGGATGTTCTGGATGTTCTGGATGTTCTGGATGTTCTGGATGTTCTGGATCTCACAGCTCGTTTGGAGAGACCAGTGAGCAGAACATTACAGTATCTAACCTACTGGAGACAAACACATGGATAAGTTTCTCCAAGTCTGATTTAGACAGTAAACCTTTGATTTTCGCTATGTTTTTTAGATGGTAAAAGGCTGCAGATGTTATTGATTTGATGTGGCTGTTAAAGTTCAAGTCTGAGTCCATTATTACCCCGAGATTTCTTGCCTGATTTGAAGGTTTTAGAGAGAGAGACTGGAGGTGATGCTGACACTGTCCCTTTGTTTCTGTAAGAGAGAATAACTGAATGAATTAAACTTTAAAGGTGCATTATGTAACTTGGAGTCAGTCACTATGGAGGAGCAGCGTCTCTACTCTGAGCTCTTCCAGTGTGACTGAGCTCCCTTAGAGACAGGGTCATCTCTAAGGGAGCGTCCAGTCACTCTGTGCAGGAAACTCATTTTGACCACTTGTATTTGTCATCTTGTCCTTTGGTTATTACCCAAAGCTCATGACCATAGGTGAAGGTTGAATGTATGCGTTTCCTGAACCTCCTTTATTTTCTTTTAAACACGCTCCAAATCTTCGAGACAGATTAATGAACTCTTATCTTCCTCCAGAAAACAAAAGTACGTGGCTGCAAAAACCCATGGGCACATTTAAGTGTTTGAACTGTCCTCACTGTCCAAATGTTCTTCAAACAAAAACGTTCATGGATGTTCACAATAGTAGATCATTCACACAAAGTTATTTCATTAATTGTAATACTACTCATGTGGTATATCGTCTGTCTTGTTCTTGTCCAGAAGGTTTTTTCTATGTTGGCCGCACTAAAAGGCGTATGTGAGATCGTTTAGCTGAGCACAACTATGCGATTAGGGTTAAAAATCAGGACGACCCAATGGCCATTTTTGTGAGAATCATAATAACAACGACACTCTGCTTCGTATTGAAGGTATTGAACATGTGAAACCACTGGCAAGAGGAGACACACTTCAAAAACTAAATCAAAGAGAAGCTTTCTGGATTCATAAACTGAGAACATGTGAACATCCAGGTTTAAATGACGACTTTGATCTGTTTTGTTTTTTATAAATGTTTTTTTTTTTTTTTAATAAATGTTGCATTTACGACCACAGGCTGATAGGTTCTTTATGTATATGTTATTATGGTTATTATTGATAATGATGATGGCAATAATAATAAAAATTATAAATAATAAAAATAATAACACTAATATAATAAAATACAAAAAATATATACAAAAATAAATTATTGGTAACAATAATAATGGAAACATTAATGGTAATGATAATGTTTGTTATGTTTTTGTAAATTATTATATTAGTGTGCATATTTATGTGTGTATTGTGTTTACATAATTTTTATTTATTTATTTATTTTTTTTTTGCTGGTCCCATGTTCTGTGCTGCTGATTGTGCACCTGTTTTATCTGCCTCCAGTCGACTCCAGTCTTGCTGTTGGTTGATGTGTTCTACTCGAAGGCCACGCCCATGTTCTGTTTTAATTAAGCCCTGATGAAGACCAGTTAAGGTCCAAACATGTCGGCTTTGGCCATTCAAATAAAGGCTTTTTGACTATATTTTTCCTCGTGCGATTTTAAACTTTTTTTTTTTACTTCTTTGGAGCGCCTGGAATCCGTTATGTTTAAGTTTTGATCCTTTTTCCAAGAGCGCCCTCTACCTGCTCCTACTGACTGGAACACCTGCAGCAAACAGCCACATTTTTGTTCTTTCTGCACACGGTAGAATGTACATTAAATGGGTTGTATAGAGGATTTTTTTAAGGGAAGAGAAATACAGCGACAGTCCTTGTGCGCGTTCAGAATTACTGTTGAAGTTTCCTGTCTAGAAGTAATTCAGCGACCGACGCGTCAGTTTTTAGACCCTTCGTCTGCTTCGGTCGCGCCATCGCTGGACGAGATCTCCAAGAATCACCTCAGTTTGGCTTTGCTCCTTTTCCTCTTCTCTTCTTCTTTCAGCGACCTCAAAAACGGACTTTCTTTTGCGGTGAACCGGTCGTGGATTCTCGTCCGCCGTCGCGACAAACTTTGTGCGAAATGCGAGGAAGCGACAGTTCGAAAAAGCCTCTAAGAACCGCCGCATAAACCACGTAATCCCCGCGCTCCGACGAGTCAGTTACACTAGGGAGTTTGATTTAGGGCTGGGCGATATGGATCAAAAAATATATCTGATATATTTTGCTATATCTCGATATACGATATATATCTCGAATATGTTCAAGAAAAAATAACCCCCTAAAACTGAAAACTGCAAAAAAAATCTGCCAAATTCCACAAGGTCTTTTTTTTTTATTGAAGTGTAAGAGGTCGGCAGTTCATATAGGAACATTTAAGATTACAAAAAAAACCCTAATTACATAAATAATAATTTAACTGTAAAATAAAAGAAATAATACTATTTCCTTCTTTTCATTCATAAATAAAACAACTCAACACAAGCTCATCTTTGATTAACTCTGTTATCCAGACCAGAACCATGAGCTCATTTAGCAGAAGCTCAGGATGTTCCTTATTTCAATAGATCCATGTTCCTATCCAGCAGTAAGGAGCTCTGAGGTTTAATCCCACAAATCCACTCAGATCAAAACCCAACGTTTCCAAACACTATTGTACAAGTGACACTGCAGCAATTATTCATTAAAAATTTCTGCATAAATAAACTTTACATTGCTAAACTTACAATATATAAAGCATAACGACTACGAGTCACATCAGCCCGTTTGAGATAATAATGTGTTTAATTGCAGTTTTGCGCACGTGTGTTTACATTTTACAGAAACGAAACTTAAGCGCATGGCTCATTTGCATAAACAGCACTTCTAGTGCAGCTCAGCTTCGTTTAAGCTTCTTTCGGGCTAAAGGACGCGACTCGGTGGAAATGAGGATGTGCTGCTGATGGTTTGGTCTGTAAATGGTGGAAAAGGTTTGTGGTGCTTGAAGCTTTTCCTGGCACCAACTTTCGGCGTTCACGGCGAAGTGACGAGTGAAGGAGACACGAGCGAACAAAATCGGGAGGCGAGGGCGCGCGGAGACAAACAAGCGAAGCGCGCAATCAAAATTGAAATTAGCATTATAGATACGATATGTCAAATTCATATCGATTTAAAAACTCGATATTTAAAATATCGATATATCGCCAATAGTTTGATTGACAACCCCAACAGCCAATAGAAATGAGGGAGCCTCGTTTTCTATTGGCTGATGTTTATCTCAACACGTCCACAGTTGATAGATTTTCCTTTTTTGTTTTTTTTTTGGTCATCATAATTACAAAGCTGCTGCGTCTCTGTAATGGTATTTTAATCTTTCACTGACAGTTTGAAACAAAAAATAAATCCTCCATACAACCTTTAAGTGGTACATTCTACCTTCACCTACTTCCTCCGGTCCGCGAAATATTGTCTCATATAAAACCGGTCTGTGGAACACTGTTTTAGACAATTCCTTTCCGCTTCTTCGTGTTAAGAAAGTGAACATTCCCATCTTGCGGGATTTGCGGGAGGGAGCGGGACAAAATATTGCAGATGCATGCGAGAGCGGGACTGAAAATTACAATTCTTTACGTGTGCAGGTGGGAGCAGGGCTGAAAATTCTGTCCCGCACAGACCTTCTAATTTAAGTCATTTTAACTTACCTAGATATTGTTTTTTTTTTCCAAACACAAAAGACACAACGGGATCGAAGAACACCGTGAGGGACACAATGGTCAAACCTCAAATTCACGAAGAGCAGCGTCATTTTTCTCCTTCGAAATATTAGTACTTGGAGTCAGTTAGGGTAATAAGTGTCTTGCGCAATGACACAATGACATTTACGATCGTTATTTCCATTTGAGTGTGTGTAACGCTGTGTTCATTTGTGTGTTTTTCCGCAGAAGTCTGAAGTCACCGCCTCCCCGTCGTCCCAGGAGAAGAACAAGCCCGAGGTACAGTCTGGTCCAAGTGTCTCCTGCATTTTTGATAACGCCGAGCTCACATAAAGTACATCTGTATATAGAAACATGCAATATTTACTCAGCTCCTCCAAAAACGTGCCGAGTGTGGAGACCGGAGAGGTTCAGATTACAAAAAAAAAACTTCTACGTCAATCATGAAGTTGTTCGTTGTTCCCAAACTTTTCCGAGACTCTTATGCGAAACTGACCTCATTCTTTATACAGTTGTTTCTTGTGCCGTGCTTGTGTTTTAATGAGGAATTTTCGTACTTCTGTGTCTCTGTGAGGCGACAGAACAAGTGGGAGGTGTGTATCAAAATACCAATGTTGGATTTTTTTTTGTTTCCGCGATCTGCGAAAGTGCACTGTGGAGTATTTTCATGGGTTTCAGGCGTTGGACTCACTAAAAGTTCAAGTTAAACTGTTTCAGGTCTAAAACCAGGTCTAAAACAGGTCTAAAACCAGGTCTAAAACAGGTCTAAAACAGGTCTAAAACCAGGACTAAAACAGGTCTAAAACCAGGACTAAAACAGGTCTAAAACCAGGAATAAAACAGGTCTAAAAGGTCTAAAACAGGAATAAAACAGGTCTAAAACCAGGACTAAAACAGGTCTAAAACCAGGAATAAAACAGGTCTAAAACCAGGTAAAACAGGTCTAAAACCAGGACTAAAACAGGTCTAAAACCAGGTCTAAAACCAGGTAAAACTCTAAAACCAGGTCTAAAACCAGGACTAAAACCAGGACTAAAACCAGGTCTAAAACAGGTCTAAAACCAGGACTAAAACAGGTCTAAAACCAGGACTAAAACAGGTCTAAAACCAGGACTAAAACAGGTCTAAAACCAGGATTAAAACAGGTCTAAAACCAGGTCTAAAACAGGTCTAAAACCAGGATTAAAACAGGTCTAAAACCAGGTCTAAAACAGGTCTAAAACCAGGTCAAAAACCAGGCTAAAACAGGTCTAAAACAGGTCTAAAACAGGTCTAAAACCAGGTCTAAAATCAGGACTAAAACAGGTCTAAAACCAGGACTAAAACAGGTCTAAAACCAGGTCTAAAACCAGGACTAAAACAGGTCTAAAACAGATCTAAAACCAGGACTAAAACCAGGTCTAAAACAGGTTTAAAACCAGGTCTAAAACAGGTCTAAAACCAGGTCTAAAACCAGGTCTAAAATCAGGACTAAAACAAGTCTAAAACCAGGACTAAAACAGGTCTAAAACCAGGACTAAAACCAGGTCTAAAAACAGATCTAAAAACAGGTCTAAAACCAGGTCTAAAACCAAAAACCAGGTCTAAACCAGGACTAAAACCAGGTCTAAAACCAGGTCTAAAACCAGGACTAAAACCAGGTCTAAAACCAGGTCTAAAACAGGTCTAAAACCAGGTCTAAACCAGGTCTAAACCAGGTCTAAAACAGGTCTAAAACAAGTCTAAAACCTATACCAGTGTTGGATTTTGCGTGAAACTGCACTGTGGAGTATTTTCATGGATTTCAGGCGTTGGACTCACTAAAAGTTCAAGTTAAACTCTTTCTGTTCCATTTCTCCTCTGCTTCTAAGACTTTTTGACGAGACAAATCTGAATTTACACCTGAAATTAAAACAAAATCACATTCAGTTTCTCGTTTATTTGGACTTGATGCTTCTGGAAAACACCATTTATGCCAAACGAAACAACAGAGACTTTGTTTTAGCGATAAAGCTGCAAATGTTGATTTTTAACAATATAATATTTATTCACTATCAGGTGAAGTTAGGAACAGGTATTGTCCCAAAAAAAAAAAAGATAGACAGGGATGCACCGAAATAAAAAATTGAGGCAGAAACTGAATAAAAACTTAACTCTTGGCCGAATACCAAAACCGAATATCAAATATGGTTGTTAAGATTTTCACTATTTTACTATGGAATAAATAATCTAACATACATTTCAGATATGTTTTTAAAATAAAGTAAATATCTATTTAATATTCTTTAAAGGGACAATCCGGAATTTTGGACATAGGACCTCATTTCTTAGTGAGTCAGAGACGTGTGGAGACACTTTTTAAAATATTCCATCCAGTCCTTGTACCGTATTTTCTGCACTATAAGGCACTCTGGATTATAAGGTGCACTGTCATAGAATGGTCTATTTTTGAACTGTTTTTCAAAAAAAAAAAAAAAAAAAAGCATCAGACTTTAAATGAAACCCAACAGTGTGATGGGTGAGTGGTTTTGTTTGTTTGTTCGTTCACGGTGACTCTGGGCTTTGTTCAGTTGTGGCGTGTAGGGAGGGTGTGTCTGTGGACCAACTGGATTGTCGGCGAGTTCGCAGTGACTCAGTTGTTCAGTCGTGTCTAGAAGCGGCACGTCGCGCTCGTCGCTTTTTCGGTTCGTTCCTCCGTTCCGTTCCTCGTCGGCGTGGAGTGATGAGTGTGTGTGTGGGTGTGTGTCGCTGTGCGGTCGCTGTCTGCTCCGTGTGTGTTTGTGGTAGGGACGGACATTCGATGAAATTTTCTTAATCGATCATTATTATTACTATCTGCACTAATCTGCATAAATAAATTCAACTTTACGACATATAAACATAACGACTCTAGATCCACATCAGCTGTTTGACATTATAATGTGTTTAATTCAGTTTTGTTCAAATCTCACAGAAACAAAACTTAAAACCACATCACTAATTTACATAAACTAAGTGAAGATAAAACTCCAGCTCTTGTGTCGCTGATGTGGTTTCAACTTGTGTTGGATTAAAAGACATGACTCAGGTGAATACAGGTCAGTGTGACCAGATTTGTGTTTGTCAAAACCAGGACAGCGTACGGGGGGAGGGGGCGGGCCTCGTCATCCACATTGAGCGACTCTCACCTGGAAAAACTTTTTCCCACTGGACACAGAAACATATGTGCTGCTTTATCCACTGTGCACATGGACTCACACTTGTCCCAACGCAACGGAAAGTGTGGAATTTCTTGTACAAATCCTGGTTAAATCCACATTTGTGCTTCGGTTCGTTACAGACTGACCCACTGTTTGTGTCTCGCTCCTTCTGATGCAGAGACACATGTACACACCTGTTTGGTCACGATACACACAGCAACATACATTCAGTTTGTCGATTAAAATTAACGTAATCGATGAAATTCTTAATGATCAATTATCGATTAATCGATTAATCATGCCCATCCCTAGTTTGTGGCTTTGTAGTTCACTGAAGTTGTGCTGGGACACTCGAGTGGATTCGTGTATGGGGCGCTCTGGATTGTGGCGCGCGGTCGTTTTTTGATGCGGTTGGAGGCTTAACCTGTAGCCCAAAAAATACGGTACTTGCAGTTGTCGCTGGTGTTAGACTAGTGCATGTCAATGGTCATAGTTTATCCTGCCACTAAAAACAGTCTTACCCACTTGTTGCTGTAGTAGTAGTAGTAGTAGTAGTAGTAGTAGTTGTAGTTAGTAGTAGTAGTTGTAGTAGTAGTAGTAGTAGTAGTAGTAGTAGTAGTAGTAGTAGTAGTAGTAGTAGTAGTAGTGTAGTAGTAGTAGTAGTTTGTGTAGTAGTAGTAGTTTGTGTAGTAGTAGTAGTAGTAGTAGTAGTAGTATGTGTAGTAGTAGTAGTAGTAGTAGTAGTAGTAGTAGTTTGAGTAGTAGTTTGTGTAGTAGTAGTAGTAGTAGTAGTAAGTAGGAGTAGTAGTAGTAAGTAGTATAGTAGTTAGTAGTAGTAGTAGTAGTAGTAGTAGTAGTAGTAGTAGTAGTAGTAGTAGTGTAGTAGTAGTAGTAGTAGTAGTAGTAGTAGTTAGTAGTAGTAGTAGTAGTAGTAGTAGTTGTAGTAGTTGTAGTAGTAGTAGTAGTAGGAGTAGTAGTAGTAGTAGTAGTAGTAGTAGTGTAGTAGTAGTAGTTGTAGTAGTAGAGTAGTAGTAGTAGTTGTAGTAGTAGTAGTAGTAGTAGTAGTTGTAGTAGTTAGTAGTAGTAGTAGTAGTAGTAGTAGTAGTAGTAGTAGTAGTAGGAGTAGTAGTAGAGTAGTAGTAGTAGTAGTAGTAGTAGTAGTAGTATAGTTGTAGTAGTAGTAGTACGTAGTAGTATCGTAGTAGTCGTAGTATCGAGTATTGAATCGTGAGGGACCCTGTGATTCTCAGACTAGTGACTATTTCAGAGTTGAAGCTGTTATTTTTTTCTGCTCATTCCGTTATAATCTGAGAACAACACTACGCTGAGTAAAAACGTGTCTCTCAGAAGTCAATTTGACAAACGCAGATACAATATTTAAAAGCAGTATTTAAATATAGCACAGTTCAAAGGGTCACGTCTAAAATATAGATTCTCCTTTTGCTGGTGTGTCTCCCTGCACTAATAGAGCTCTGAACTTACAGCGTCGATGCTACTTAATAGTAGTCTTCGTAGTAGTTTGTTTGTAGTGTTGTTGTAGTAGTTGTTGTACTACTAGTAGTAATAGTAGTACTAATAATAGTAGTGGTAGTAGTAGTATTGTTGTTGTAGTAGTAATAGTAGACGTTGTAGTAGTAGTAATAGTAGTAGTAGTAGTAGTTGTGTAGTAGTTGAGTTATACTTGTTGTAGTAATAGGAATAGTAGAAGTTTTTGCAGTAGTAGTAGTAATTGTTTGTTGTTATAGTTATTGTGTTAGTTATGTTGTGTTTGTTGTAGTAGTTGTAGTAGTAGTAGTTGTTGTTGTTGTAGTGTAGTAGTAGCAGTAGTAGCAGTAGTAGTATATAGTTAGTAGCAGTAGTATACAGTAGTAGTATTAGTAGTAGCAGTAGCAGTACGTATAGTAGCAGTAGTAGTAGCAGTAAGTATACTAGTAGCAGTAGCAGTAGTAGTAGTAGTAAGTAGTAGCAGTAGTTGTAGTAGTAGCAGTAGTAGCAGTAGTAGCAGTAGTAGTAGCAGTAGCAGTAGCAGTAGCAGTATAGTAGCAGTAGTACAGTGTAGCAGTAGTAGTAGCAGTAGTAGTTAGCAGTAGCAGTAGCAGTAGTAGTAGCAGTAGCATAGCA